TTATAAGTGTTGTGAAGAGTAAATAACTGCCCTCTATAAAATGTCCAGCCTGTAGTAATCATCCACAAATAGCAATTTCTTTTTCTTCCTGAAGGAGAAAGTGGAGAACTCTAAAAGCCGGCAACATCTTTGAGGGGAAATGAATCAACGTGTCATTTTTTTTCTCTTTTAATTTCATTTTAGCAATTCTCCCCATGAGGTGGGAAGACTCATTACATTAAAGAAGACAAGCCTTTCTTAAAAAATTACATATTAATTATCCAGCCCAGGCCACCAGAGAGCGAGAATAAGAAAACAGGATCTGATGGATCCATTTCCACCAAGTGGTCCCCACTGTCTGGCACAGGGCTTGCACTTTGTAGGTTCTAGTTAAGTATTTGAGCAAGAATGGAGGGAGAGGACAAAGTGAGAGGACAAAGGAAGATGGTGCGAGGAAGAAACTGAAGATTGGACGTGGCTGGGATTTTGCTTCTACCATAGAGCTTCCAGAACAGGGTCCTTGACAGGCACAGAATAAAGAAAAAGAGTTTGTATCTCAAGATACTCCTTTCCATATAGAATGTAGCAGTATCTGCATGGAGAATCTCACACTTCATTGCCTCCTTTCATGGAACGAGAAAGAATGGAAAGAAACAGACTGCGAAAAAAACATATCCATTTCTAGAGCATGTTGCTGGACTACAATAAACCTAGAAGTTCAAAAGGTGCCATGGTCTTCCTCTGTAGGAATGATCGGGAAAATGTTATGACGTCTGAGAGGAGGACTACGTGATGGAAACACACAGAGGTGAACTCATTTTGTGTGTGACCTTGGGCAAGGCACTTCGCACACACTGGACCTGAATTTTTCCATCTGTAAGTTTGTCCAGATCGATGACTCTTAGCCTTCGCTCTCCATGGAAACTACCTAAGGAAGTTTAACATGTCCCCACGGCCAAGCCATAGTCCAGACATTAGAATCTGCTCAGGTGAGGTCTGGGCATCAGTAGTTTCACGGCTCCCCAGATGATTCCACTGGGCAGCTGAACTTGAGAACTGCTGGTCCAGCTGGTCTCTAGATTTTATCACCCTAAGAGGCTCTCAGACAAGCATCACTTGGAGCTTTTGTACTAATCAAGACTCAGCCTCATTCCAAAGCTACACAATCAGAATCTCCAGTTTAACAAGTGTCTCCCCCTTCCCCAGTAATTTATATTGAAATTCAAAACTCTGGCCTAGATATTCTTCCATCCAGCTCTTTCACCCAACAGTGCTTTGCCTCTGGTGCTGATATTTCAATATAAGTTTTAGATCTCAGTGCCAGGCACATTTTCAGTGTCAAATGTTTTATATGTGTGTTATGTGTGTATATTCAGTAAGCACCAAAATAACCTATCATACCTGTTCCACATGGGGATTGGGGGGCTAAGTGGAAATAGATTTGGAGAACAAAACACAGCCCTGTAATAGGTGTGGATGATTTTATGAGATTCCGATCAAAGATTGTTTTGCCTTTGTAGAATGGAGGAGGGCACACTAGAGAGTAGTTCTCTTCAGTCAGCCATGCCAGTGTGATTGTGAAAAACACCTGCCTCTGCGTGGCAATTTGTACCCAACCTGGCAACGCATCATTTCCAGGTTGTTTCTCTGTGTCTCATGCCACCTCATGGCACTTTCTTCCCCCCAACCCCAAAGAATAGACAGGTTGGCCACAGAGTGTTTGACCTTCTCTGGATGTGTCCTGTCAGAATGTTCGTCATCTCTGCCAAGCCTACAGAATGAAAGTCGGCTCTGAAAAAAGCAAAGAGCAGAAACAGCCTCAAAACACTGAAAGTAAAACTGGAAAGTGACAGATAAACGTTATGCAGGATGCTCCTCTGACACGTGACAACTCAGGCTAAGAAAGCAGGATAGCCCCCACCATTTAGGTTCATGTTTCATTAGGATTTTTTTGAGTGATGGTGTATTAGGGGGAGGGAGTGATCTGCGTCTGACTGTTTAGGAAGAAGTGGCGTGGGCACAACTATACTTTTCAATTCAATTCAATTGCTAGGCACGAGGTAGCTGCCATTGTGATGCACCACCCACCTCCTCCCAGGCTGGACAGTGCCAGGAGCATGTCAGTAGTTGGCATCTGTGCCGACTTCTCTGCCCTCAGAGCAGCAGGCAGAAGTCCTAGAGTCAGCACTCTGGTGGAAGCCTTCAGGAGAAGACCGAATGGAGATTATGTCTAAATACCCCAGCTCCCTGGCCTTTCACGCGAGATCTCATGGAGACGCATGTTCTAGGCTGGCTCTGGGAGGTGCCCGGCAGCATGAAGCTGCAGTCGCCCCAGCGATAACTTGATTCACACCAACTATTGTTTGCCTTCCCACCCCAGACTCACTACTTCTCTCCCCTGCTAGTGCTTCCTCTTCTCTAGAACAAAGTGTTGCCACTTCAGTCCTTGCCTCCAAATCTGCTTGTGGGCAAACCTCACCTAAGACAAATTTTATATTCCATCTGCATTAGGATATTGGCAGGTATACAGTTCATACCTCATATTCTTTCCTTTGAATTTTACTCTTTTCAGTAAATAAGACCAGTTATGGTATGAAGAGTTCAAAGCATTTTGGTAACAGCCTTGATGAGATCATCTTGTTACCTTCTTCGTGAGACTCATTTGACATCTGAAGTCACAAAGGGATAAGAAGATGAGAAAGGGGGTGGGTGTTCAGGAAGTTGATGCCTGCAAAGTGTTTAGGACAATGCCTGTCACTGTTGGCTATGAATAGCTCAGTGACCTAACTGGTTACTAACCAGGCATGTTGAATCTATTAGGACGTCTTCAGCCATAAAACAGAAGATCCAACATGGCTTCCCTTATTAAGGAAAGCCCTGGTGTAAACCAGGAAGCTGCAGCAAGACTTTTCCTCATCCTCACCACATTTCATTGGCTGGAATTATGGCATAAACCTGTCAACCAGTCATTGGCACCAAATCAATGCCAACAGGAATCCCCAGTTTGTGGTGCAGTGAAGAAGGAAACTGTTTTCAGCACAAAACAGCTTGATTATGATACAGCATGACTGTGGAACAGGACACTTGTGAAATAGCAGGGCTGTGGGGCAGTCCTGGGGCCTTGCCACTTTCTGGCTAGACAGCTCTGCTCTGCTCCCTGCCCTGGAGAGGTAGTGCTCATCCTTCGTGGAAAGGGAAAGTACACTTCCCAAGCAGGAAGGGAACTGGTTTATATGGACAAGAGTCCCCTCCCCTGGTCCCTGATTGGTGCATCCATGAGGACTCCAAATTCTTGCAGTTTGGCCCCAAAGGCACTGTCCTGATTGGTTAAAATAGAGCTGCTGTGATTGGCCCCAGCTCCCATTGGATGGCGAAGGTCTCAGTGCTATTGGTTAAACTAGGACTCCAGGAACGCCTTTATAAGGGGCTGACTCAGAGCGCAGGGCCACAGTGCTGGCAGGCAGTTTCATGCAGAGGTGGGTAGTTCAGTACAGGTTTCTCCCTGAAGCATGGCTTGCGTGAGAAGCTCCTGCTTAGAAATGGCTGCAGAGCTCTGTTTTAAAAAAAAAGATGAGTTCTTTGCATATGATCTCACCTTTAACAGGAACCTAAATAAACAAACAAACAAACAAAACTAGCAAGCAAAATATAACCAAAGACACTGAAATACAGAACAGGCTGACAGGGACCAGAGGGGAGAGGGGAGAGAATTTCAGGGGAAAAGGGGAAGGATTCACAGGAACAAGTATAAAGGACACAGGGACAAAAACTAAGGGGGGGATGGGAGGGAGGTGGAGAGCACTGGGGGGATGGGCTGGAATGGGAGTGAAAGACAGAAAACTGTACTTGAACAATAATTAAGTAAATTAAAGAAAAAACGAGCTCATTTAGCCACCAGGAACCCTTCTTAATAGCTGTCCCCCACCCCCATCAGAGTTCACAATCCCATTCTAAAACATCGAATGAAGCTTATAATCAAGACAAACCTCTTTCTTCATATTCATTATTTTATTTCTAACACCAGATCACAAGCATGTCAGCTATAGCTTGTGTAACACATCATCACAATAAGCCTTGGTAGCTTGACTGGCACCGCTGACCTTTGCTGATATACACTAAGCTTGCTGACTAGTGTTGCTCTAAGCTATAGGTCTGCGAGTTGGTCACGTAGCTGCGTTCTACCTGGTTCTCATTCTCCTTGAGCTGTGACACTAGCTGGGGCACGCTCCTTCTGTGGCCATGATAGAGACTCGGGTGTTTTAAGGCCTTGGCTTGAAACTGTAATGCCACTGGTCAAAGCCTGTCACACAGTCAAGTCCAAAGCCAAAGTGTGGAGCCATAGGCTCTGCCTCCCATGAAGACAAAGAGAGTAGATGCAAGGAGGGGGTGAGGGAGAGACTAATCACTCATTAGACCATAACAAGTTATCAAAATAAAGAACAAGTGAAGTACCCAAGTGAATTCTCTGAGCTGGCATAGCACTGTGTTTCTGCTGTTAATTTCTGCACTGGTTACTATATTACTATATTGTCTGGTGGTTTCATGTGAGTGAACTGTGAAAAAATGAGTATGGCAAGTTACTTGTCAAAGGAAGGGGCTGCACAGGTGACTTCCCAGCTCCAGCAGCCCATGAGTTGCAGTTTGTGGGTGAAAACCCACCGGAGTGTCAAAGTCTAAACAGAAATAAGATAGAAGTGTCATTGTGAACTGGCATGCTCAGTTCCTGCTTTGACTTCTCAGCCACCTTCTTAAACCCTCCAGTGCAGGTATCACTCACTGAAAGCTGCCCATGTCTGAAATAGACTGGAATGAAGTGAACTGAGTCTGGGGTAAGGTGCCTGGTGAACACCAAACAGAGGATGAGCTAGTGGTGCTGGAGGCGGGTCCCAGCCAGAGGTGCATGGCCCGCCCCGCCCTCCCTCGAGCGCACCGACCCTGCTTCACCCACAGAGGAGCTGCGGTGGCCTGGCCAGGGCGTCCCCACCTCTCCAGGGGCTGCGAGCGCCCCCTGCCGCATCCTCCCTCCCTGCCCCCGCAGGACCCGGCTGGGGAGGAGTGAAAGCTACAAGCAGTGCAGCGGGAGAGAAGAAGCTGCGGTGGTCCCCGTGCGCTCTGTCCTGAGCCCTCCCTGGGGGCAGGAGGAGGAGTGGCAGGCAACAGCGGCAGAGGGAGGCCCCCTGATGAAGATGCCGCTGCCCTGGACCTTTGCGCTCCCGCTGCTGCTCCCCTGGGTGGCAGGTGGATCAGGGAACGCGGCCAGGTGAGTGGCTAGCGATCGCCCCCCACCACACCTAAGCTCCTCACGGGGACCCCCTACTCTTTGTCCCAGTTCCTCTCGGCCCTCCCCGCGGGCGTGTGCATGCCGAGACGGAATTTAACAGGGATGCCAACCCCGGAGTGCCCACGGCGTTCTCTCCAACTCCCTTTGCATCCATGGCGCTCCACCTGACCACGTCTGGGGGTTCCAGGAGGAGGGAGGCTCTGCGCACAGCCCGGTGGGTGCAGTCTGGCTTAGTGGTCTGCAGACATCTACTGTGGGGGCGGCTGTGTGAGTGTGTGGGTAAGTGGGTGGGTTTTGTCCCTGTGCGGCTTTGTGTTTTCCACTCTCTCCTAACGGCGCTGATAGTCAGTCACTAGTTTTGCTGCGGAAGGAGGCAAAGAAACTGGGGAGGACCACGACTAAGCATTTACCTTTTGTGGGCTGAGGCCACTGTGAAGGGGGTTCCTCTACTCAGTGGCTCTCTGATTTGGGTTGATGACCCGGAAAGAACGAACATAGTTGTCAGATGGAACTGACTCACTCTTCTTCCTCTGGCAGTTCAGAACCTGAGGATGTTTCTTTACTCCCCATAACCTTTTCTAAGCCCTGAAACGTTTCTGCAGAGATCAGCAAACCCACTTAAGAATTGCACACTTACACAGTGCTCCCTGGTGCTGTATGAAACACTTTTGGACTATTAACCCATTGGAAGCCCCCTAACTGCTCTTTGTAGAAGGTACTATTATTGTCATCCTCCTGTTATAGGGGAGAAATAGGAGGCACAGAGAGGGGGGCAAACGCCCAAGAAGAAGGCACAACCAGGAACCGATGGCTCCAGCATTTGAACCCAGGCAGACTGGCCCAGAGTCCCTCCTCTGCACCAATTGTTAGGGCAGCCTTTTGAGAGTCACTCGCTGGAAAAGGGTTCATGGTTCCCTGACTGTGATATCTCGCTTTCTGGGGTGTCTACTAGAGCTGCGCTTCTCCACTGTGGCTGCAATGGACACTTACTGGGGGGTGAGGCTCTTCTGTGTATTGTGAGATTTTTAGCAGCAGCGTCTGTAGTGCTTCTACCCACTAGATGCCAATAGCAATCTCCCTAAGTTGGGACAACCAAAAAATATCCCTGGACATTGTCATGGGTCCCCTAGGGGTAGGAGGCAGAATCACCTTTAGCTGAGTGACAATTACATCGCTATTGAGATCTTTTGGTGGACAGTTCCTGGGACAGCAGGCTGAGAGCTTTGCTTCAGTACAGGCTTCTCTAAGGTGAGCCTGTCTGTGTGTGACTTAGGGGAAAAGGGGCTTAAGAGGCCGCCAGAGTATTAAGGGATTTAGGAGTTCAAAGAGAACAAACCTCAAATCAGGTTGTTACAATGTATGGTCACAAGTTTCAATTTTGTTTTTGTGATAAAAATGTGAGCAGACATCATTTGCTCATAACCCCATTGTCCTGGAAGGCGGCAGTTCTTTTATTGCTAGAAAGCCCACTTAAGAAAGACCAGGTGCACTCTGGCTGGTGTGGCTCATTGGATTGATCGCCCGCCTTTGAACCAAAGGGTCGACAGTTCAATTCCCAGTCAGAGCACATGCCTGGGTTGTGGGCCAGGTCCCCAGTTGGGGGCGTGAGAGAGATGACCACACATTGATGTTTCTCTCCCTCCCTTTCTTTCTCCTTCCCTTCCCCTCTCCCTAAAAATAAATAAAATCTTTAAAAAAAAGAAAGACCTAGTACTTTAGCAACCAGCAAACTGACCTCCAGAAGCACCACTCTCAAAATGCCACGAAATTAAATGAAAAGCCAAAAAGCTCCCAAATAAACCAAAGAATATTAAAGTGCAGCATCCATATCAGGATCCTACAGTTTTCAAGATGTGAAATGTGGTTTCTTTACTCTGGATCAGGTTCGCCAATGAGTGTGCTTATTACATCCTCATCATGCTTGGAGATTTTGAGTGGTCAGCTCTTCAAGGAACCGGCAGGAACTGTGTTTAATCAACTCCAGACCCCCAGTTACAGGAACATGCTAACAGAAAAGGCTAGGTGTTGACTGCAGAAAAGTATGTCTCTTGATGATTTGCTGAGGTTTCACAACTTATAGCAAAAATTGCCCCTGCTATGGAGAGATTTTTTATATAGTTACCAGGGGCTTTTTTACTTGAAAAACTTCACCATAACTTTAGTGACCAAGAAAAGTATATGCCTCTTAAATGGTGCTTAGCATATAGTGCACAATTAACACTCTTCAAATAAATACATCATTAGCAGTATACATTTCTGTGGTCTTAAGCATCAATATTTGGCTTGAACTCCAGATTTATATATGCTCTTTGGGCATTGGGGCAATTTAGATGCTCTAGACCTGCTTTGTCTATTCCTAGCTCTCCCTTATTCCCCTGCTTCTACTACAGTTCTCCATTCTCTCTTGTAATTCCATTCTCTCCTATAAGTCTCTGCTGCTACCATAATCCCATTCTCTCCCATAATCCCATTTTCTCCAATAGTTCCCTGCTTCTCCCACAATTCTTCATTCTCTCTCATAATCCCATTTCCTCCCACAGTTCTCTGCTTCTCCCATAATCCCATTCCCTTCTATAATTCTCTGTATCTCCCATAATATTATTCTGTCCTGTTATTCTCCATTTCTCCCATAATTCCATTTTCCCATTGTTCTCTGCTCCTATAATGTCATTTTCTCCCATAATCCCATTCTCACCCATAGTTCTCTGTTTCTCCCACAATTCTTCATGCTCTCATAATCTTATTCTCCACCACAATTAATTCCCTATTTACCCCAATAATCCTATTCCCTCACATAGATTTCTACTTTCCCCATGATCCTATTCTCTCCCATAGTTCCGTTTCTCCCATAACACCAGTTTTGTACTTCTCCCGTAATTCCATTCTCTCACAGAATATTGTGCTACTCCCATAATTTCATTCTCCCATAATTTCCTGCTTTTCCCATAAGTCTCCATTTTCTCGCATAATTACCTGATTTTTCCATAATCCCATTTTCTCTCACAATTTTATACTCCCACAATTCTCCATTTTCTGCCATAATCCTATTATCTCCACACATCCCTCTGCCTCTCTCACAATTCTCAATTCTCTCCCATTATCCCATTCTTTCCCATAGTTCCCAGCTTCTCACTGAATCCCACTGTCACCCATAATTCTCCATTCTTATAATCCCATTCCCTTTCATAGTTCCCTACTTTCCCCATAATCCTATTCTCTCTCATTATTTCTTGCTTTCCCTATAATTCCATTTTGTCCCACAGTTCTCTGCTTCATTAATCATTTTATATCAGTATGTGTTGAAATGATAATGTTGTAAATATTAGATAAAATGTATTACTAAAATTTATTTCATCCCTTTTATATTTTGAAAAATGTGGCTACTAGGAAATTTTAAATGCCCTATGTGGCTGTTATATTTCTCTTGGAATGTGTCAGTATAGAACATTTATTGATCCAAACTCTAGGTCCTCAGTCTGGCATCTTTTAGCCTTGGACATATAAGGTAAATGTTATTAACGTTGCTATAGTTAAGACTCAAGTTTGGAGCAAGTCCCTATTTAAAATATATTTCTGCTATGTGTTTTTTCTCTATTGAATTAAAGTACAAGTAATGGGAGAGGTGAAGGAGTGACCGGGTTTGTGCAGAGGGTCCACCCTCATGGTTTACTTTCTGCAAACCACACCCTGTATGGAGAATTGGTTCTTGTTAGAGCCATTAAGGAAGGGCCATTGTAACAATTTACCAGAAATTCAGTGGCTTAAAATAACACAAATTGATTATCTTACAGTTCTGGAGGTCGGAGTTCCAAAATGAGTCTTATGAAGCTAAAGTTTAGGTATTGACAGGGCTCATTCCTTCTGGGGGCTCCAGCAAAGAATGGGTTCCTTGTTTCTTATAGCTTTTAAAGGTTTCCAACAGTCTTTCGGCTTGTAACCACATCACTCCAATCTCCTTCCTTCATCAAATGGCCTTTTCTCTGACTCACAGTCATCTTTCTCCCTTGGAGAAGAACCCTTCTGATTATACCAGGGCCACCCAGCTAAATCCAGGATGATTTCCCCATCTCAAAATCCTTCATGTGACCACATCTGCAAAGTCCCTTGTGCCGTGGAAGGTAACAGTCACAGGTTCCGGAGATTAAGAAGCAGACATCTTTGAAGGGAGAGCATTATTCAACCTTGCACAGGAAGTCTGAGCCATGAGTCTGTTGTTTTAGATTTATGGACTAGATCTTATTTTTAAACGTGATTTTAGTGATTTGTAAATAGGGGTGTGTGTCATTTATTTATTCTTAAAACCAGAATTTGTGGGGATAAAGTCAAAACTAAAGAACAGAGTATTTCTAGGAAATAGTGACCATGAAATGTCCAATTACAACATAGAAATTATGTCTGAGCAACCTTATTTCAGTTGTTTCTCTGGCTTGGAAGGTATTCAAGTCCTATTTATATGTGATTTATGTGTATAAACCAAGGTTATGTAAACATAAATTGAGAATAAGTATATTATCTCGTCTTCATAAATCAGATCAGCATTCAACAAATATTATTGAGACCCTACTATGGGTCAACACTTTTTACTGTGATTTCAATGAATTCTCTCATCAATCCCCAGAAATAGGTATTGTGTCTATTTGCCAGTCAATGGAAGGAAAAACTTGAAATTAAATGATTTCCCCAAACTGCATTTGGCTTGGTCTTCTGCCCTAAGAACAGGGACCTTCCACTATAGGCACACCTCTTCTTATTGTTTCACTTTATTGCACTTTGAAGGTATTGCATTTTCATTGCCAAGAGCAAGACTTCCACCAGCAATAAGATTGTGGGTTGCTGAAGGGTCAGATGATGGTTGGCATATTTTAGCAATAAGGTATTTTTTAATTACGGTGTGTACATTGCTTTTTTAGACATAATGCTATCACACACTTAATAGGCTACAGTATAGTATAAACATAACCTATATGCACTGGGAAACC